GTAAGCCAAGTGCCCAAGTGACACAAGTCTCCCCAATGTCTTGCGTGTCACAAGTGACCTAGCCGAAGTGACCCAAGTGCCCAAGCGACACCAACGTCCCAAGCGACGAGTGAGTGAAGTGTCCCCAGCCACCCAAGCAACGCAAATGTTCCCAGTGCTGGCGACAGTGTGCCAAGTATCCGAAAATGACTCAAGCGACCTAAGTGTCGCAAGTGACCCAAGTGATCCAGGTAACCCATGTGTTCCCAGTTCTCGCAAATATTTCAAGTGTCCCAAATCTGACCCCAAGCGACCCAAGTGACCCCCAAGTGCTCCGAGCGGCCCATGTGACACAGCCCATACGTAGCTTCAGTGAAGAGTTTCATATCAAGTTCGTCTGAATCACCTTCCATCAAGTGTTGCTGCGTAAACAAGAAGGCCTTAATTCCTTGCGAGTTGTAAGTGGGCAGTCTTGGGGTGGTAGGTCTGCAGACTCCTGCGCGCTCACAACGCGCGCTGCCGTTTGGAGAACCCTAAACCCTAAACCCTAAACCCTAAACCCTAAACCCTAAACCCTAAACCCTAAACCCTAAACCCTAAACCCTAAGCCCTAAGCCCTAATTAAACCCTAAACAACACCCACTTCGAAATACTGCCCACCTGGGCAAAGTTCTCACGGAGCTCCTCATGCTCGTTCACGTCCGGGCTTGGGTAGCCGCCCTGAGGGGAGTTGCTTAGGGTTTAGGGTTTAGGGTTTAGGGTTTAGGGTTTAGGGTTTAGGGTTTAGGGTTTAGGGTTTCGGGTTTCGGGTTTAGGGTTTAGGGATTGAGGTTTAGGGTTTAGGGTTTGGGGTTTAGGGTTTGGGGTTTAGGGTTTAGGGTTCAGGGTTTACGACTGTTTGGAGGGTTTGGGGGGGTGTTTTAGGTTGTGGTTGCAAAGGTTGTTGAGTGAGTTAGGGTGTTGGGCATATAGGTTTAGGGTTGTGCTGTTGGGGTCCTTTTTGGGTTTTGTGGGGGGGCGGGGGGAGGGGGGAGGGGTTTCAGGGTTTCTTGAGGTTCTACCAGATTTAGGGGTTCTAAGGCCTATAAGGTTGAAGGTGGTACGGTTTTAAAGGTTTTGGGTTTATCAGGTTTAGGGTTTACGTATATACGGCTTAGGCTTTCGCGTCTGGGGTGTTTAGGGGTTGATAAGGGTTAGGGCATAGTGCGTACGGGGGCCTAGGATTTTTAGGGTTCAGGGTTTAGGGTTTAGGGTTTAGGGTTTAGGGTTTAGGGTTTAGGGTTTAGGGTTTAGGGTTTAGGGTTTAGGGTTTAGGGTTTAGGGTTTATGCGTAAGGCTTCAACCGAAGCAAGCCCTGAACCTAAAATTGCACGCAGCAAGCGTGCCTTACCTCTTGGGCAAGGTACAAGGCTACTCTAGGTAGACCCTAAACCCTAAACCCTAAACCCTAAACCCTAAACCCTAAACACACTAAACGCCCTAAACGCCCTAAACGCCCTCAACAACCCAAACACCCCTAAACACCCTAAAAACTCTAAACAAAGATTGCGACTCTTCTTTCAACTTGAGGCTCTCTTGTCCCTAGGCTCCCAGGAAACTGGGAACCTGGGAAATACACAGGTTCCCAAAACCTTGTTTCGCGGGAACCTTGTCCCCCTAAACACTAATTCCTAAACCCTAAACCCTAGCCCTAAACCCTAACCCCTAAACCCTAAACCCTAAATCCTAAACCCTAAACCCTGAACCCTATAAACCCGAAACAAGAAGTGAGTTACTTCGCTCATCCCCACCCTGCAGCTACCGGGTGTCGGAGGCATCCTGCCCCCCTCGGACACTTGGAGGTTTACGGGTAGTTAGAAGTAGGGTTTTAGGGTTTAGGGTTTGGGGTTTAGGGTTTAGGGTTAAGGGTTTAGGGTTTAGGGTTTGAACCACTTGTCACTACCCATGAACCTCCAAGGAGGGTCAAGGAGGGTCTGTGAACTTCTCTGGGGTGGGCACTCCGGAACTCTCTTCTGCTAGGCTTAAAACTTTACATAGGGCTAGCAGTTTAGGGTTTCGGGTCCCCCTGGCCTGGATGTAGATGCTGTAGTGGGTGATCATGTGCGTTTGCTTCTCCTCGCAGCTGCATTGTTTGGGGTTTGGGGTTTAGGGTTTAGGGCTTAGGGTTTAGGGTTTAGGGTTTAGGGTTTAGGGTTGGACCATCCGATACAGGGAGAGACCGAAGCTCTAAGTGCCTTGGGTATACCCAGCCTCAACAACCCCAAGCCTATTTTCTCTAGGTTGCCTAAGACGAGTCCTACAAAGGGTTATATAATGAGGACCTACCCCAAAAAGTAGGCTTTGGAAACTTCCGGAAAAATAAAGCCCTAAACCCGATATGGTCAGGGGGCCCTTTCTGTGTCTCTCGAAGCATGTTCCTTGTAGCTACTATAGTGGCGTTTAGGGCACCAAAGGCATGCCCAACAGTTTGCAATTCGGCTCAGTTGTGTTTAGGGCTTATTTCATGTTCAGGGATGATAAGCCCCATAGTACGGGTACTAAGCTTTAGAAATGGCATGTTACAAGGCTTGAAGACTTGGGGCTGGAGTGTCTTGGGGTTGGGTGTTTAGGGTTTCAGAACTCGGGTTGCAGGGTCTACTTGAAGGCCGAAACCCTAAATCCTAAACTGGGCCTGGGCCACCCTTTTACGTTGGGGGGACGGCGCTTAAGCCCTTCGACCTCGATGGCGCAAGCCGACCCAGGTCGCTCGCCCGCCTCCCACAGCATGGGGGTCGGTAGCGCCCACGATGGGACCGGTACCGGAACACGTTTTTTTTCGGGATTCATGGCCTTTTCAAGGGCGGGAACCTCCAGGGCCCCAGCGCAGGGGGTCCCGGACACCTCGCCACAGCGCGCACAAGGAACAGGGTTGGTGCCGCCAGGCCCCCCCCGGACGCTGGCAATGACCCCCCCCCTACCTTTCCTTTGACTCTCGGACCCAACCCCGAAGGTCATGAAACTGAATAAGTTTTTAGAAGTGGACCGTTGCCTTGAGTTTAGGCCTAAACCCTAAAAGGAATAGGTTTGGGTGGCTTTGCCGCCTCGGACGGCGTGGGGTGGGAGAAAAGTGTTAGATGGCCCTCCACAATCAGGCCAAAGCTGCTCTTCGCACCTCACGAAGCTTTCGAGCTTGTTCCGAAACCTAACCTTCACAGCACCTACGCCCTATCACGGCAAACCCTAAACCCTAAACCCTAAACTTCATGGCTAGTTATATGGCTTTCTCAGGGCTCCAGCCTTTCCAGCTCACATTGCTCCTTGGAACATCTCACACTTCCTGAGCCACTCCAGAACTCAATAGATCCACAGGCTCTTAAACGCCAAGCCACTACGCCCCCAAGGGCTGGCGCTAGGCAGCCCCAATACCAAACCAGCCCCCAAACCCCAAAACGTTAACCTGAACCAAACCCATCAAACAACATTCGCAAGCCCAAGCTCCTCTAGGCTGCCCAGTAACCTAGGCTTAAAAAGGGTGCCCTTTTTGTCTTAAAGGGGTTGATAAGGGAACCTAAACCCCCAAAAAAAGGGAATAAGGGTACTACTGGGCATCCTAGTCCTACGCCAAGTCCCACAAAGCTTCTAAACTAAATAGGACTTCGGAACAACTTACTGCCGAGGTCATGAGGGTGTATATAGGGTGCAAGGTTCAAAAGCCTAAGAGCCTACTGGGGTCCGCGAATGCGGAAGCCCGATGTAAGCCCTAAACTGCCTGCCCTAGGGCTTAGGGCTTAGGATTTCGGGTTAGGTGTACCCACAAAGCACCCATCCCCACCGGCACCCTCTCCTAGGTTGCCCAACAACCGAGGATTACGAAGGGTCCGCGTTAATAGGGAAGCTAAACCCTAAACCCTGAACCCCTAAACTCTACAAAGGGAATCAGAGCACTGCTGGGCATCCCAGTCTCCTGGTCGTAGATGAAGCCCACGCGGTTGTCATACGTCTCTGGGATTTGCCAGCGCACCTGGGCTGCCAAAGCCCCCGAAACCCTAAACCCCACACCCTAAACCCTAAACCCTATAAACTCTAAACCTAAATCGGGATTTGCAGGGCAACTTCAACCCCCTAACAAAGAGGAACGAAGGGCCCACGACACCTCGTACTTAGGCCCTAGGCCGGCCTCAAGTTATATGTAAGGGGAACCAAAACCCCTACTTGAACCCTAAACCCTAGACACGGTTCCAAGAAACCCTAGCCCTAAACCCCCAACGCTGACCGTCCTGACCTTGAATCTCCTGCACCCAACCTAACCCGACCAAGCCTCCGGGAGCGACTGCAGAAGGGGAACGAGGGTGTGGAACTGTGACTGTGTGCTTCCCGCTGCACTTTTGAAAGGGTACTTGGAGGTTCATGGTGCTTAGTAACCCCATCATAACTGTACTTACAACCCAGTTATAACCCTACTAGGGTACTTCAGGGGCTTATATGCGGGTTATAACTACACTTACAATGGGTTACTAGGTACCCTGAACCTCCAAGGACCGTATATTAGGATGCGCCCCGTTATTCTAGCTCCTTAATAGGGATTGTAAGAGGGGGTACGATAATCCCTATTAGGGACTGTTAGTAATAGTATAAGGGGGAACATCCCAAAGTGTACAAGGGAACCCAACTCTACTACTGGGCATCCTCGAGGGTATCGGGCTTGTAGAGGTCAAACATTTAGTAGGGCCCAGCTCTCAGAGATTTAATCAGGGATATTACAGTGCAGTTGGGACGAAGGCGGCTGCTGCTGCTGCTGCTCATATCAGCACAGATTGTATTACACTTGGTGCAGCTCTTATGCTTCTTTTTGGCGAGCGATATTATGGTGACTGGCTGATGGTGGGGCCGCAGAGGTGCTGCCTCTGGCAGCTATGGCTCGCGCCGCGCCGCTGCATCTTGACGCACTTCGCAGCGGCGTGTTGCTGTGAGAGGTCACAAGGACACCGCATGCCAGCAAGAGCTCTACATCTGTAAGCAGCTCTTCAGCCTGCCGTCTGCCGTCACCAACCCAACCGGCAGCAGAAAGCAGCCGTGGAGGCAGTACTTTCTCGAACCTCTGGCTCCCCTTGTCGCAGAGCATCCTTGCTGTCGCCCTCCATGCCTGGATATCCCCAATATATCACCTCGCCATCTTGCCGGATCGCTGCAAACGCGAGCTTCGTGGAGCGGATCTCTTGCACGTCGTGTAACTGCTCTTGGACACTCGCGCTATCACCACCAAATCCTGGCTTCCCCCAGCTTACCACGGAACCGTCCTTTCCTTCTGCTGGAGTTTCCTACAGGAAAAAAAGGCTTACAAACTTTGGGCTTTACGGGGCTTTTATACCACTCCCCTCCCCACCCCCCCCACCCCCCCCCCCAAGAAAACAAGAGAGTTACCTACACAGCACCCAAGTATCGGATCGCTGCAAATGCTTGAGAGGTGGAGCATATCGACTTCACACTGTGAAGCTGCCCTTGGACACTCGCGCAGTCGCCTCCACAGTTGGGATCGCCCCAACTCACCACGGTACCTGGGTAGTTCAGTAGCCATCGTATAAGGTACCCTTTTGTTGAGTCGTTGGTTACTATACATAAGGGTACCTCTTTTTGGGGTTGGTTACTATATAAGGGTACCATTGTTTTGAGTTGGTTACTTTATAAGCGTACCCCTTGTTTGGGGTTGGGTACTATATAAGGGTACACTATTTTTGGGGGGCTATTTACTCTTTAAAGGTACCCTTTTTTGAGGGGTTGGTTACTATATAAGGGAGCCGAGAACCAAGAGAAGGGCGAAGGGCACCACTGGGCTACCAAGGCACCATCTTTTCGCAGCGCGGCGAAGGCATAGGAAGCTGAGTGAATTACCTGAACGTCTTGAAGCCTGGGTAGCCCAGTAACCATATTATTATAAGGGGCACCCTTTTTGGGGTTGGTTGTTTTAGAAGGGAGCCCATAACCCAGAACCCGGAACCCTACCCCCTACACCCTACACCCTAAACCCTAAACCCTAAACCCTAAACCCTAAACCCTAAACCCTAAACCCTAAACCCTAAACCCAAAAAAAAAGGAAAAAGGGTACCAGTGGGCTACCAAGAAGCTGCTCCTGAACACGCGTGCTGTCAACGTCGTCGCCCCAACTGACCACTGCACCATTCCTTCGCACTGCGGCAAAGGCTACCTTGTTGGAGTGGATCTGTTGAACTCCCTAACCCGGAACCCTAAACCTTAAACCCTAAACCCTACACCGTAAACCCTAAACCCTAAACCCTAAACCCTAAACCCTAAACCCTAAACCCTAAACCCTAAACCCTAAACCCTAAACCCTAAACCCTATTTAAACCCTAAACCCTAAACCAGGCACCTTGTTGGAGTAGATCTGCTGAACTTCGTTCAACTGCTCTTGGACACCGATGCTGTCACCACCCCTGCCCTTCCCGCCCCAAACAACTGCGGCACCATCCTTGCGAATGGCCGCGAAGGCCACCTCAGTGGAATGAACCTGCTGCACATCGTACAGCTGCTTCTGTATGGGAGCGCTATCCCCGCCAAAGGTGGGGTCACCCCAGGTTACCAGAGTGCCATCACCACGGATGGCGGCAAAGGACCAAGCAGTGGAGTGGACTGAACGCACATCATAAAGCTGCTCTGAGACGTGTCTGCTGTCGCCACCGCATTCCGGATCACCCCAGCTAACCACAGAGCCGTCTTTCCGAAGCGCCGCAAACACGACCCTGTTGCAGCAAATCTCGCGCACATCGCAAAGCTGCTCCTGGACATGTGAGCTATCTCCGCCCATCCGCAGCGCACCCCAAGTTACCACGGCACCATCCCTTCGGATGACAGCAAACGCAGACCGATTTGCGTGGAGCTTCTCTACATCCATGAGCTGCTCTTGAACGTGGCCGCTGTCACCGCCGTAGTGGCGGTCGCCCCAGCTCACCACGACGCCGTCCTTTCCTTGGGGACGAAATGAACCTTAAAATTGGAGTCATATACCCTACACTACTATAACCCCTATTGAGGTATATGAGCCATAAACCCTTTTATACCCTACACTACTATAATCCCTATTGAGGTATACACTACTATAATCCCTATTGAGGTATATGAGCCATAAACCCTTTTAGGGCCCTACACTACTATAATCCCTATTGAGGTATATGAGCCATAAACCCTTTTAGGGCACATTTCGTCCCCAAGGCTCGCAGGGCCGCAAACGCCCCATCCGTGGAGCGAAGCTCCTGCACACCACGGAGCTGCTCTTGGACAGCTGAGCTGTCACCACCTTGGGGGGGTTTCCGATCTATTTTGGGGTACCTTATATTGGGGCCCTTATTCTTAAGGGCCTCTTGGGGGTGTCCGATACTAGGGGCACCTTCTTGGGGCCCTTATTACAAGGGAGTCCTCCTCCTTTTTTGGAGGGGTACCTTCTTGGGGTCCTTATGGTAAGGGAATCCTCCTTTTTAGGGTTTAGGGTTTAGGGTTTAGGGTTTAGGGTTTAGGGTTTAGGGTTTAGGGTTTAGGGTTTAGGGTTTAGGGGGGGGTCAGTATTTTCGGGGTCCCCTATTTTTCCTAAACCCCCCACCTGAGCGCGGATCCCCCCAGCTTACAACCGCACCATCCTTCCGCAGTGCAGCAAAGGCCCCATTTGTGGCGTGAACCTAGACTCCCCTTTGTCATCTTCATAAAAATGGTACGTTTAATATCCTCTTGGTTTTTATATGAACACAAAAAACGTTAAAAAAAAAAAAACAGTTCCCAGGGGGGATATAGGAGGCAGCCCCGTCACTTGTGCCCACGCGATCGCGGTCACTTGTGCCCACGCGGTTTCGGGTCACTTGCGCCCACGTACCCCGTCACTTGTGCCCACGTACCCCGTCACTTGTGCCCACGTACCCCGTCACTTGTGCCCACGTTTCTGGGGGGGTGGGGGGGTGGGGAGGGGGGGGGGGGATAAGAATAAGCTTGTTTGAGGCGGTCAACACAACCACATCCAGTCAACCACATCCAGTCCCAACGGGTGAGGAGGAGGGGGGGGGAGGGGAGGGGGGGGACAAGAATAACATCCAGTCACCCGCCCTGCAACGGGCGGGGGGGAGGGGAGGGGGGGGGGATAAGAATAAGCTTGTTTGACGCCGGTAAGCTTTTTGGACGCCGTCAACACAACCCGCCCTGCAACGGGGGGGGGGGGGGGGGGTGGGGAGGGGGGGGGGGGGGGGATAAGAATAACCTTGTTTCATGCCACACACCACACCCAGTCACCCGCCCTGGAAAACGGGTGAGGGGAGGGCGGAGGGGGGGCAACACAACCACATCCAGTCAACCACATCCAGTCTAAGGGGAGGGAGGGGGGGGGGGGGGGGAGGGGGGGGGGGGGACAAGATAAGCTTATTGACGCGCTACACAACCGACCCAGTCACCGCCCTGCAACGGGGGGGGGGGGGGGTGGGATAAGAATAAGCTTGTTTGACGCCCACCACAACCCAGTCACCCGCCTGGAAAGGTGAGGGGGGGGGAGGGGGGGCAACACAACACATCCAGTCAACACATCCAGCCGGGTGAGGGGGTGGAGGGGGGGGACAAGAAAAAGCTTGTTTGACGCGCTCAACACAACCGCATCCAGTCACCCGCCCTGCAACGGGGGGAGGGGGGGGGGGGAAGGGGGGGGGATAAGAATAAGCTTGTTTGACGCCACACACCACACCCAGTCACCCGCCCTGGAAACGGGTGAGGGGAGGGGGGATGGGGGGGGGGGGGTTTCGAGGGGCAAAAACGACTGTTGTTGACCAACGCGCCCTGCACGGTCAGCCGCAGGGGGAGCCCTGCACGGTCAGCCGCAGTGCTTGGGAGGGGGTGGAGGGGGAAGGGGGCGGCGGCGAGGGGGGGCTTGGGCGGGCTGGGCGTCTACAGACATCTGACCCAAGGGGAGCCTTCCACGCAAGGCCTCAGGTCAGTTGTTTCTGGGTCCAGGGTTCGGGTTTGGAGGGGTAAACAAACGACTGTTGTTGCCCGATGCGCCCTGCACGGTCAGCCGGAGTGCTTGGGAGGGGGTGGAGGGGGAAGGGGGAAGGGGGGGGCTGGGTGTTTACAGGCATCTGACCCGAGGGAAGCTTTCCACACAAGGCATCGGGTCAGTTCCTTCTGGGTTCAGGGTTCGGTTTTCGAGGGGCAAAAAACGACTGTTGTTGACCAATGCGCCCTGCACGGTCAGCCGCAGTGCTTGGGAGGGGGTGGAGGGGGAAGGGGGGGAGGGGGGGCTTGGGCGGGCTGGGCGTCTACAGACATCTGACCCAAGGGGGCCTTTCAGGCAAGGCCTCAGGTCAGTTGTTTCTGGGTCCAGGGTTCGGGTTTGGAGGGGCAAAAAAACGACTGTTGTTGCCCGATGCGCCCTGCACGGTCAGTCGGAGTGCTTGGGAGGGGGTGGAGGGGGAAGGGGGAAGGGGGGGGCTGGGTGTTTACAGGCATCTGACCCGAGGGAAGCTTTCCACACAAGGCCTCGGGTCAGTTCCTTCTAAATTCAGGGTTCGGGTTTCGAGGGGCAAAAAAACGACCTTCGCCCAGGATTTGTTTGTAATGTTCATGCTTCAAACAAAAACGAAGCAGGACTACAGGGGCTGTAGGCGGTAGTCGGCACCCCGAACCCTAGTCATGTGGCAGCCTTCATGTGCGCGAGGAGAGGCTGCCGCTGCGGCGGACATGAAAGGCGTTCAAGGCTTGAGGTTTGTAAGAGCTTCGGGAGGTTTTGGGCTTTCGGGTTTAACAGCATGGGCCTGTAAGGTCTTGGAATTCGGGGCTGGAGGCCTTGGGACTTTAGGGATTAAGAGCTCTGCGGTTTCAGGTTACTTAGGTTGGTCTCGATTCAGGCTTCCAAGCTTAGGTCTCTGGGGGTCTCATATAATATAGGGTGACATTGATGAGTACATGTTTTGATAGCGATGCTCATGATGTTGGAGCCAGCCCACCCCTGTCGGGAAAATGAAACGGGCAACCTGAGAAAACTGCGTCCACTTGAATGGGGTGACAGGTGGCAGGGGCAGAGAGCCTGCCGGATGTGGCAGGGACGCGACTTTTCAACCGACAAACACCTCATCCTGTGGCCCTGCCATATTTAAGACCGAAAGGTGGGCACAAGTGACAGGTCTGCGTTTTGGCGAGAGGTGGCCCAAAGTGCGGCCCTGCTGTGATTTGAGGCACGTACGCGGGCACAAGTGACCCGCGTAAGGCGGGCACAACTGACCAGCCTAAAGCGGGCACAAGCGACCGGTCTGCCGATATAGGAACCGCTTCTACGTCTTGAAGCCGCTCTTGAACACGGCTACTGTCGCCCCCCAAATCCGCCTGGCCCCAGCAGACAATCCTTGGCTGCACTGAGGAGGGTAAGAAAAAATAAAACCTTTAGCTGCCTTATTTCGAAACCCCATAAACCCAAAAAGGCTGAGGATCTAAAGTTACAGTAAAGCACCACAAAGAATCCTGCCATCGCGCCGGAGAAAGGCGGAGGCCCCTTCTGTCGACGCAAATTCGAGCGATGGCGCTCCCATCGTGGGATCCTGGACATCTACGATTGTACGGAGGTGTCTTGGGCAGTCAAAAAGGCATCAAATGAAGCCACCTCCACTTGGAGGCTCATGGGTAGAAATAAGTGGGGTTCTAAGTAAGGCAACCATAAGTAGAACTGCTTGTAACCTTTATTTAGGGTACTTCTGACCCTACTTATAACTGCCCATGAACGTTCCGGCAGGACCTAGGCCAAAGCCACATGGCCTCTCTCAATAAGAAGTCCGCAACCTGATCGTGTCCCGAAGCGCAGCTAATCTGAGGGTAGCTACATGGTCCCAGGGTTCTGAAGTATGGCCGTCGGTTGTACTCTGTACCCCAAAACCTGAAGTCCAGGGAGGCGAAACCCGAAAACGCCAAACCCTAAAGACCCACAAAACCCAAATCAGAACTCTAACCCTAACCCCCCCCACCCCCCACCCTCCAAACAAAAAACAAGAAACTCCTCCTTATGATGAGGGTGCCGTATTGTATACAGGACCCAGAAAATAAACCCTAAACCCTAAACCCTAAGCCCTAAACCCTAAACCCTACACCCTAAACCCATCTCCCTCCATGCCGGGCCCCCGTGCCCTGATGCAATGGTCGTTGGGCTCCTCCTCGAGCAGCTCCACCTGCGAGTTACAGTACTGGGAGGATCGGGATGGAATATTCTGAGATGTGTGATGTTGAGGGTTTAGGGTTTAGGGTTTAGGGTTTAGGGTTTAGGGTTTAGGGTGTAGGGCTTAGGGTTTAGGGTGGGGCTTAATGTACGAAAGTATGATGCAGGGGTTTCTAAGTGGGATGACACCAGGGTCGCAGGTTGCATAGCAAGGGGTTCGGAAACAAGGACTAAGGACCCTAGAGCCTAAACCCTTTATTGTAAACTCTACAAACCCTATAAACCCTGTAAACCTAAAAGCCCTATAAACCCAATTAAACCCTGTAAACCTTGTAAACCTAAAAACCCTATCAACCCTATAAACCCTACAAACCCGATAAACCCTATAAACCCTCTAAGCCCTACAAACCCTACAAACACTATAAACCCTATAAACCCCGTGACCTTGTAAACCCTATAAACCCTATAAACCCTACAAATCCCATAAACCCTATAAACACTATAAACCCTATAAACCCTAAACCCTAAACCCTAAACCCGAACCCCCCTACGGGATCTTAGGTCCTAGGGGTCCTTGAGAAGACCCGAGAGAGACCCCCCGGCAGCCGCTGTGACAAGAATTTTCAAGCTTTAGGGTTTAGGGTTTAGGGTTTAGGGTTTAGGGTTTAGGGTTTAGGGTTTAGGGTTTAGGGTTTAGGGTTCTTTCCTTAGGGTTTAGGGTGTAGGGTTAGGGCCTAGGGTTTGGGGTATAGGGTTTAGGGTTTGAGCTTACTGACTTTAAGCTTTGCTTGTCCTTTGCTTCCAACATCGGACGAAGATTCTCTGGCCGAAGGCCCTTTCAGCCCCAACCCCCTAAACACGTGACCTGCAAGGGGTTTAAGCTTTAGGCTTCTGGATTTTAAGCGTTTAGGTTAACCGTGAATATATAGGGGATTCTGCAAACAGTTCCAGAGACGCTTCTGCTTCTGAGGGCGGCGTGAACAAACAAAGGAACTCTCCCCAAGGACGTTCAAGGTTTCATGCTCTTAATATAGGGGCTTGAATAGGTAGGAATGGGGTTTTGGGGGTTATAAAAAGTATAATTACAACGGGACCAGAAGGGAATATTATTCGTAATGATTCGGATCCCTACATTAGATGGGCTGGTGGTGCTACGGCCTGCTGGGTCGGTGGCCCTGACCCTAACTAGTCGCAGGGCTTAGGGCTTAGGGTTCAGGGTTTTAGGGTTTAGGGTTTAGGGTTTAGGGTTTAGGGTTTAGGGTTTAGGGTTTAGGGTTTCGGGCTCGAGGTTTAGGGTCCAGAGCCTACAACTCAAGGTGAAGGAGCCCCACCCTTATAACGTGATACACTTATTTTATGCATCTCGTCCACAACACTCTATCCCAGACCACGTGGGTACGTGTAGAAACTCGTGCTGCCAATTCATCAACCCAACTTGCTACTGGGGTTGTTGTGTATGAATGACTTTCGAGGCCCTAAACCCTAAACCCTAAACCCTAAACTCTAAACCCTAAACCCTAAACCCTAAACCCTAAACCCTGAACCCTGAACCCTAAACAAAGCTCGCCAAGGCCCAGTCCTCAGGAGGATCCGGCTGGCGCGGGCGGATGAACCTAGAGCGTTCGGTGAGCTCTTCGTAGGCAAATCAGTAATTTTTGGTTTAGGGTTTAGGGTTTAGGGTTTAGGGTTTAGGGTTTAGGGTTTAGGGTTTAGAGTTTAGGGTTTAGGGTCCGCCGACCCTGGCGGCGTGTTGGATGGGTTTCTGGAGGTTAAAACCTCCCTCTTTCCCTCAACGCAGCGGGGAGAAGGGGGGGGGGGGGGGAGGGGGGGTACGCCGGCAGCTTTTCCGTGGAGGAACAGGCACGTAAACATGGACCATAGGGGTTGCACATAAAGGGGCTCTTTAAAAAACCCCCCCCCCCACCCTACCCCCCCCTACCCCCCCTATCCACCCCCCCCCCCCTTCTAACCCCTAAACCCCAAACCCCAAACTCTGAACTCCAATTCTGAAACCCTAAACCCCAAACCCTAAACCCCAAACCCTAAACCCTAAACCCCAAAACCCAAAACCCAAAACCCTCTGCTTCGAGCTGGGGCACTTCTCCGGCGGCATCGGGTTGGTGAGGACCTCGGGTTTAGGGTTTAGGGTTTAGGGTTTAGGGTTTAGGGTTTAGGGTTTAGGGTTTAGGGTTTAGGGTTTAGGGTTTAGGGTTTAGGGTTTAGGGTTTAGGGTTTAGGGTTTAGGGTTTAGGGGAAGTTGGCAACTTTGGGTGTCTTGTCTTTTTTGGGGGGTATTATTGAGCTGTTAGGCTTTCGGCGTTCGGCGTTTTGTTTTCTGAATTCTTTTTTCTGGGGAAGGGGGGGGGGGGAGGGGGGGAGAGGGGGAAGTTTGTAGGATGTCTTTGGGAGTTGCGGGTTTCGCTTTAGACTCCCTGCCGGGGAATATCGGTTTGGACTTCCCCAAGCCCTAAACCCTACTAATTTTCTAAACCCTAAACCCTAAACCCTAAACCCCAAACCCTAAACCCCAAACCCTAAACCCTAAACCCCAAACCCCAAACCCCAAACCCCAAACCCCAAACCCCAAACCCCAAACCCCAAACCCTAAACCCTAAACCCTAAACCCTAAACCCTAAACCCTAAACCCTAAACAACAAAAAAGGAAAGGGCATCCCAGGCTTCCAGCCTTCACCGGCTCGGAGTAGTCGCCCTGACCCACGGCGTTCACCGCCGCCACCTTGAAGTGGTAGTGCATCTCCTCTTAGGGTTTAGGGTTTAGGGTTTAGGGTTTAGGGTTTAGGGTTTAGGGTTTAGGGTTTAGGGTTTAGGGTTTAGGGTTTAGGGTTTAGGGTTTAGGGTTTAGGGTTTAGGGTTTAGGTTTTCGGATTTAGGGTTTAGGGGTTAGGGTTTAGGGTCTTCGGTTTAGGGTCCAGGGTTTTGGGCCTTGGAGTTTAGGGATTACGCTGAAGAGGGCTCACACAGTCTTTTTGTGGGCTCAAGTGGGGCCAGGGGCTTAGGTTTACACCCCAGGACTCTATACTTAAGCCAAGGCATTTACATGAAGACACAAAAAATGTGCACGCAAGAGAGCAAACGTTTAGGGTTTAGGGTTTAGGGTTTAGGGTTTAGGGTTTAGGGTTTAGGGTTTAGGGTTTAGGGTTTAGGGTTTAGGGTTTAGGGTTTAGGGTTTAGGGTTTAGGGTTTAGGGTTTAGGGTTTAGGGTTTAGGGCTCTCAGTAAAGAATCTTGGTATTTTGGGTGTGTACTGCGGAGGTCGAGAGTGCCACCACCCCACACTCGGACAAAACCCAAGCCCTATACCCCAAACCCTAAACCCTAAACGCAACACCCTAAACCCTAAACCCTAAATCCTAAATCCTAAACCCTAAACTAGAATAACCAGAAGCCCACAAAAAAAAAAAAAAAAAAACAAGAGAAAGCACTGGCCAGACCGGCCACTGACTCTGCCCCTAGCTACGGCCAACGCTGCCGGTTCAGGGTTTAGGGTTTCGGGTTTCGGGTTTAGGGTCTAGGGTGTAGGGTTTGCAGTAGTGTTTAGGGTTTAGGGTCTATGGATTAGGGCTTACGGTTTAGGGTTTAGGGTTCAGGGTTCAGGGTTCAAGATTCAGGGTTCAGGGTTCAGGGTTCAGGGTTCAGGGTTCAGGGTTCAGGGTTCAGGGTTCAGGGTTTAGGGTCTCGGGTCCAGGGTCTCGGGTCTCGGGTCTAGGGTTTAGGGTTTAGGGAAACTCGAAAAAACGAAGCCCCTTACATTGCTTCCCGCATCGCCCGTTGAACCGGCACATCTAGGAGTGGCTCCAAGCAAGCGCTGGCAAAATGGCCCTAAGCACCAGCTAAAGCCTCCTAAAGCACCTAAAGCCCCCAAAGCCCCCAAAGCCCCCTAAAGGCCTTAAACCACCTAAAGCCCCCAAAAACGCTGGAGCCCCGAAAACAAAGCCTCCCAAAGCCCCCAAACCTCCTGAAGCCCCCTAAAACCAAAATACAAATAATACAAATAAGCCCTTAAACCCCTGAAGCCCCCAAAAAACCGAAAGACCCAGGAAGACTCCGGCTTCAACTCGAAGAGGTTGGCGTCGCGCATGGCCTCTACAGGGCTTCTGCTCAGGAGCTTAAGGCACCTTGAGGGCCTAAGAGGTGTAGGAAGTTAACATCAGCTTTAAAAAAAATTCCGTAGATACTAAATGACCCGAAACCCCATACATCCTAAAATTCCTTAGCAGCAACCCAACTTTGTGGTTCAAACCCTAAAACCTAAACCCTAAACCCTAAACCCTAAGCCCTCAAGTTTCGGCGGGTTTCGGGTTTAGGGTTTTAGGTGTGGGCTTGGGGTGTAAAGGGTCTTAGGGTAGTTTCATGGTCCCCTAGCACGGGCCCGTACATGGGCACCCGCGTTATATACCCCTATAAAATCCCAGGGCCCATACTTCAGAACCCTCTTAGGAAGATAAGGGACCGTATCAAGGGACCATGTAATTACCCTTAGAGCCTTAGAAAGGGGGTAGGGCTGTTGCTGCAAGTTTAGGGTTCAGGCCTTCCGAACTTTGGGGTTTGGGGTTCGGGTTTAGGGCCCAGGGGTTTAGGGTATAAGGTTTAAGGTTTAGGCTTTAGGCTTTAGGCTTTAGGCTCTAGGCTTAGGGCTTTAGGGTTTAGGGCTTTAGGGTTTAGGGCTTTAGGGAACCGAAGGCAAATAGTGTGGCGGCCCTTACGAAGAAACCTCGATGGATCGAGCCCCTGCCGGATAGCGTCAAGGTTAGCGCGAACGATGTCCTTCGTGGCCGTCTTTACGGCAAAAGAGCAAATCACGACAGAGCAATCGGCGCTCTTTTCGTAAAGCCTCTGGCACGGCAGGAACCAGCTGCAGCTCTCTGGTATCCTGGGGTGGCCCCAGAAGGCCACCCCAGAGCCTAAACCCTAAACCCTAAACCCTGAACCCGAAACCCTAAACCCTAAACCTTAAACCCAATTAGGGGGTCCTACTATTTGGGGGGGTCTATGCTGGGGGTCCCGAATGTTCGTAAACCCCATATGATCCTCTTAAACCCAAGCAGGGGCTCCTACTATATGATCCTCTTAAACCCAATACTACTACTTGCTTAAGAAACCCGACAAAATAGAAATATTCTTCCTTATTATAATATACGGATTCTTCTGATCCTCTTTAACCCAATAAGGGGGTCCTACTATTTTAGGGGATAGGACTAGGGGGACCCTTGGGGATGTAGACCCTCTCAATAAGGTCTCTGTTTAAGAGAGCAAGAAGAGGCTTAAGAAGGGTTCCCTTTTCAAGGGTCCCCCTACTACTTGCTTAAGAACCCCGGAAAAATCAAAATATTCTTCCTTATTAGGAGCAATATCGGGACTATCATTGTTTTGTTCTTTTGCGGTTCTTAAGAAATAGTAGATAAGGGAATGTATACATGTCCCGAGGGCCTAGCGAGTATCGAAAGATGTACAACTGAACCGCATGCCCTTGCCAGGGGCCCTTGCACAAGCCCAGCTTTGTGAACCCCAGACACCTAAAAACCCTGAATCCCCAAATCCCACCCCCCCATCCCTAAACCTAAATCCTAAACCCTAACCCTGAACCCTGAACCATAAACGCTGGAAACCCTAAGCCCCTATTGACACTTTACTTGCAGGACTTCTCCGGCCTCGAGCCCGTGCCTACTTAGGTTTTAGGGTTGAGGGTTGAGGGTTTGGGGTTTAGGGTTTAGCGGGCGGAAACCAGACTCTGCGGGCATGCATGCATAAGCAGCAAAGGCAACAATGGTTTCGGTTGCAGGGTACCCTAAACTCTAAACCCGAAACCTTAAGCTAAGGGCGTTTGGGTCTCCAGCGGCTTGCCGGGCAGGAAATGGCCTTTAACCCCACTTCTTTGAATTGCGAGAAGTCTTCGTACTCGGAGAAGCAGACGCGGTACCTGCAACAAAGGCAACGCCCGCACCTCAAGCCCAAAGTTTCAGCCCTAAACCGATACTCCCCAGAGCCACAATAAAATTATTCCCCTTAGAAGCATAATGAAAGTCACGTTTTCTAATACTCTCCCTTGGGCTTCAAACAAGAGAAGTCCCAAGTGTGACAAGCCCTCAGCCCTCAGCCCGAATCCCCAGGCCCAAGCCACAAGCCCCAGGCCCTAAGTAAGCCCTAAGAACCGAGCCCTAAGCCCTAAACCCCACACACCATGAACCCTAAGACCTAAACCCCTACATCCTAAATCCTGAACCCTAAACCCTGAACCCCTAAACTCCTAAACCCCGTAGACCCCTAACCCTAAACCCCTAAACCAGCCTAAATCCAGATGCGGAAGAAACTTCACAACATCTACACGCGGGTTTAGGGTTCACGGTTCAGGGTCTAGGGTTTAGGGTTTAGGGAGGTTCAGGGTTCAGGGTTCAGGGTTCAGGGTCTAGGGTTTAGGGTTTAGGGTTTAGGGTTCAGGGTTTTACGGTTTAGGGTTTAGGGTCTAGGGCCTTACAGTGCGGAGGGTTTAGGGTTTAGGGGGCCCAGAGTTTAGGGTTTGGGGCGCCAGGGTTAGGTTTTAGGGGGACTTTCGGGATTTGGACCCCAAACCGTAACTCCTAAACCCCATACCCTGAACGATTGCGGCATTAGGGTTTAGGGTTTAGGGTTTAGGGTTTAGGGTTTAGCGTTTAGGGTTTAGGGTTTAGGGTTTAGGGGTTAGGGTTTCGGGTTTAGGGTTTAGGGTTTAGGGTTTAGGGTTTAGGGTTTAGGGTTTAGGGTTTAGGTTTAGGGGTTAGGGTTTAGGGTTTAGGGTTTTGGGTTTAGGGTTTAGGGTTTAGGGTTTAGGGTTTAGGGTTTAGGGTTTAGGGTTTAGGGTTTAGGGTTTAGGGTTTAGGGTTTAGGGCCAGTTGGGCAAGGCTGGGTTGGGTGCAACTAAGTACTTCCAGAGAGCCCTAAATCCCCCTTAAGTAAGGACTGCGCCAACTCCAGACTTACACGGCTTCGGAAGAAGTAGATGCAGAACAAAACGATCCACCTAAACCCTAAACCCTAAACCCTAAACCCTAAACCCTAAACCCTAAACCCTAAACCCTAAACCCTAAACCCTAAACCCTAAACCCCACTCTACAGGTGACGGAGAGCCCAAAATACGTATGAAGCACCTGCATGACTCGGGGCTTAGGACCTGCCTGGGCCACATGTTGAATTCGGATACATGGTGGTCTCTGTGTATCTGGAGATATACCCTGAACCCTAAACCCTAAACCCGAAACCCTAAACCCTACTGCCCTAAACCCTTTACCCTACTGGCACCCTTGGCGGCCCACCGGGTGATCATGCAGCCACCATCTTGGACCGGCTTGGCCCAGTTGAGGTGCACAGCCTCGGCTGAGCTGCTTCCCCCGTTTAGGGTTTAGGGTTTGGGGTTTGGGGTTTGGGGTTTAGGGTTTAGGATTTAGGGTTGAGGGTTGAGGGTTGAGGGTTTAGGGTTTAGGGTTTAGGGTTTAGGGTTTAGGGTTTAGGGTTTAGGGTTTAGGGTTTAGGGTTTGGGTTCTTTTCTAGGGAATGAGGGCATTCTTGGGGCCTTGAAAAGTACCCTTTAAGGGATTCAAAAGGGTACCTCATTCCCTCATTTCCTACTAAGAACCAGCCAGGCGAGGTTGAGGGTTTAGGGTTCAGGGTTTAGGGTTTCGGGCCTAGTCTTGGGGTCTAGGGTATGTAGGGTTTAGGGTTTAGGGCTTCATGGCTTTGGGTTTAGGGTTCAAGGGGTTTGAATTTAAAGGGTTTAAGGGTTTAGGGTACAGGGGAGGTGCCTTGCATCCCCCTAGAGATACCCTTCAAGGGTGCCTAATTCCCTCAGTCCCTACTAAGAACCAGTGGCGAAGCCACAAGAAATAATGAGGAAGTTGCCCTTACCCCAGCCCCGAAACCCCAAACCCTAAACCCTAAACCCTAAACCCTAAACCCTAAAACCTTTCCAGGAACGCGATAGTCTGCAAAGGGAAAGCTGGGTGCCTGGCTCCCCCCTTGTCCTTAATGGCCTCACCTGCTGCAAGGGGTGAAACTCGAGAGGCGAAGACACAAACCTTCAAAAGCCCGACTGAATTTTGGGGATTACTATCGCACAGCAAAATAGGGGCCATAAGGACTTATTCCGACCCCTATATTTCAACTACTTGGAGGTTCATGGGTAGCAGTAGAGTCCTAAGCAAGGCAACTATATCTATGACTGCTTATCACTTTACTTCGGCTGCTTGTAACCCTACTTATAACTACCCATGATCCTTCAAGTCCTTACTAGGGATAAGAATAGGGGGTACTACAAATCCCTATAATTCCCATTCAGGACTGTTGGTATAAGGGGGAACATGCCAAGGAGCATCTAAAACGCAAATCCCGCTTAGAGGCTCCGAGAATTTCGCCCCGGAGCCGCTGCACAGGTTTCTCAACAAGCGGGACGAGTTACCCTAAACCCTGAACCTTAAACCCTAAACTCTAAACCCGAAACCCTAAACCCGAATCCCTACATGCAGGCCACCACGCCGGACGTGCTTTGTGGTGTATGCCGAAACACTCATCCCACCCCGCAAACGATACCCCAAGTTCCAGATCCGAATGGTTAGGGCTGGCGGTCGGCCTGATGCAGAGGCTCACTTCGTAGCGCCCAAAAATTGCGCATGTCTGTCCCAAGGGCGGGGAATCGAGTCAAAACCTGATTCCTAAACCTAAAAAACCCTAGGGTTCAGGGTTCAGAGTTTAGGGTTTTTAACCCCCCCCAGCCTGACAAGGACGGAACCACCGAAGGCACCCGCGGAATGGTTCCGATGACCCTTGGCTCACAGCTCAATCTAGGGTTTCTGGATTACTTGGAAGTTCGTGGGTAGCAAAAAAACTGGGGATCTAAGTGGGATACCTAAGTCAGCTGAATCTTGGGTTTCTGGATTAGGGTTTAGGGGTTGGGTTGTTGCCCTTTATACGAAGAGTCCTGAAGAGAGATTATCGTACCCCCCTATTATGGTTCTAGGACGCCCTATGAAAAGCCCTATCAAGGACTGTTCGTATAAGGGGGGAACCATCCCAATTTTGGCGGCTGTTCGTTTTTGTTGAGTGGTGTTGGGACATCTGGTCAGAGCCCGAAGATGTCCGAAGGCCCTTCCCTAGATCCCACAACATAAGAAGGGCACCCTTTATGGGGGGATTCCAACAAATAGGGGGGAGCCCTTAATATACCCCAAAATGGTATGATCCTTAATTATTATTTTAAAAAAAACTCAAAAAGGGTACCCCTATTTTCGGAAACCCCTTATGGCTCAAAGCCATATCGATCTCCAAACAGCCGGGTGCCCTCATTCACTCTCATGGCTTCTGTAGCTTCACGCTTGGACTCAACGTTGGACCTGCCAGCGTCCTAAACCCTTGAAGCCCCCTAAACCCTAAACCCTAGACCCTTAAACCCTAAACCCTCAACTCTTCAACCCTTCAACCCTTTAATTACCCTTGAGCCCCAAACCCTAGAGTTCAGGGTTCAGGGCTCGGGGGTCCGAATCGAAACTGCCCCAACATTCTTGAAACCCTCAACCCGAGTCCCCAAAACTCCCCAAAACAACTCAAAACCTTTGGCAACCCTAAACCCTAACCCCCAACCCCCAACCCCTAAACCCTAAACCCTAAACCCGAAACTCCACCGCAGACCCTAACGCCCCAGCTAAGAATCTTAGGGTAGTTACATGATCCCTGAGTATGGGCCCTTACATGGGGGGCCCTTCTGTACCCCTTATATACCCTCTAGAACCCAAGGGCCCATACTTCAGGGTTTAGGGTCTAGGGTTTAGGGTTTTAGGGTTTAGGGTTTAGGGTTTAGGGTTTAGGGTTTAGGGGACCATATACCTATGCTTCGAAAGAAACACGCCTGAAGCAAACCGGCCAGGTCACCCCTGGCCCAGGTGCGGGATGCAGTCTGAAAACTTGCCCTGGCCCACGCTGTTCGTCGCCTCGGATCGTTTAGGGTTGAGGGTTTAGGGTTTCGGGTTGAGGGTTCAGGGTTCAGGGTTCAGGGTTTAGGGTTTCGGGTTTCGGGTTTCGGGGTTCGGGTTTCGGGTGTAGGGTTTAGGGTTTAGGGTTTAGGGTTTAGGGTTTAGGGTTTAGGGTTTAGGGTTTAGGGTTTAATGTTTAGGGTTTGCTGCTGTGATAGGGCGTAGATGCTGTGAAGGTTAGGTTTTGGAACAAGCTCGAAAGCTTCGTGAGGCGCGAAGAGCAGCTTTGGCCCGATTGTGGAAGGCCATCTAACATCTTTCTCCCACCACGCCGTCCGAGGCGGCAAAGCCACCCAAACCTATTCCTTTTAGGGTTCAGGCCTAAACTCAAGCCAACTGCTTACTTCTATAAAACCTTTTCATTCCGTCACGGTGGTCGCCCGCCCGGTTCAGGGTCCCAAAAAAACCACAGGCAGAAGGGCAGAAAGGTCCTGGAGTCAGGCTCGCCCCTGGGCGGCCTGGACACGAGGCCAGCACAGATTTCGGGCCAGGATTCGAGATGAAAGGGGGTTCAGGGCACCTGGCCTGGCCTGAGGCCTGCCTGGTCCTTGGGCACGCTGTGGCGAGGGGTCCGGGACCCTGGGCTGGGGGCCCTGGGGGAAGCCCGCCCCCCCGCCCCGAAAAGGTCCGCCAAGTTCTGCGAGGGTTTCGGGTGTTTAGTACTGGTCCCGAGGAGAACGTGTTCCGGTACCGGGCCCATCGTGGGCGCTACCGACCCCCATGCTGTGGGAGGCGGGCGAGCGATCTGGGTCGGCTTGCGCCATCGAGGTAGGGTTTAGGGCTCCGTTTTTTCAAGGATCCTGTGGGATGTTCCCCTTATACTAACAGCTCCTTAATCAGGATGATAATGGGGGGGGGGGTTAGCATGTTCCCTATTCAGGACTGTTAGGAGAAGGGCGAACATCCCAGAGGATCCTTATGAAGGATAGGGGTTCGGGATTTGGGGGTTTAGGGTTTAGGGTTTAGGGTTCAGGGTTTCTGGTTTAGGGTTTAGGGTTTAGGGTTTAGGGTTTAGGGTTTAGGGTTTAGGGTTTAGGGTTTAGGGTTTAGGGTTTAGGGTTTAGGGTTTAGGGTTTAGGGTTTAGGGTTTAGTCCTTCGGGTTCCTCAGCTTCTAACTGTGCTATGGGGTTTGGGAGCCTTTCAGTGGTGAACCGGCCTTTGCTGGGTCTCAGGGGCGCTGGTCCCCTTTTAGCGTCGCTTTGGGCGATCCTCGTGGAGGCCCTAAACCCTAAACCCTAAACCCTAAGCCCTAAACCCTAAACCCTAAGCCCTAAACCCTAAACCTCTAAAGCGCATGTTCAAAGAAAACACCAAGAGCGGAACCTTATGTAGAGCTAGGATGGCCCTCAAAAAATCCTCTGAAAAATTATTCCCTACATACAACCCTCTTAAACCCAATGGTTTAGGGTTTAGGGTTTAGGGTTTAGGGTTTAGGGTTTAGGGTTTAGGGTTTAGGGTTTAGGGTTTAGGGTTTAGGGTTTAGGGTTTAGGGCTAGAAGGGAAAGTACCACACGTCCCAAGGGCTGACCTAAAGAACGACCACCGGATGCTGGGAATCTAAAGCTGAGTCTCCTTGGCACCCTGAAACCCTGAACCTCCATCCCCCGCCTCAACATGCCCCCATGGGCATACCCTTAAAGGGTTTAGGGTTTAGGGGTTTAGGGTTTAGGGTTTAGGGTTTAGGGTTTCGGGTTTCGGGTTTAGGGTTTGGTAGAATCCTTCCCTTGTGTTCTTCTTTTGCAGGTTAAAGGGGTATGGGCCTGGGGTGTGTTGATATATACTTATATATACCCAAGACCTTCCAGGAACCCCAGCTCCCAGTTCCCCGTCCCTAAACACAACCCGGCAAGCCTCAACTCATCTCCGAAACCCGAAGCTCCGCATGTCTTACATATTCCGTCCCAAATGTGTAGGGTTTCGGGTTTGGGGGTTTAGGGTGAAGGGCTTAGCGTTTAGGGATCCTAAACCCTAAACCCTAAACCTGACACCCTAAACGCAGCCCTGCTTGGGCGTCTCCCCCTTGCCGCCACGAGGCAGCAATCCGCAAGTAGAACTTCCTCGGCGCATGACGCTCACGAGGCTTTGTAGGGTTGTGGGGTTCAGGGTTTAGGGTTTAGGGTTGAGGGTTGAGGGTTGAGGGTTTAGGGTTTAGGGTTTAGGGTTTAGGGTTTAGGGTTTAGGGTTCAGGGCTTCGGGTTTTTAAGGATTAGGGTTTAAGGAGCTCATCGTAGGGAACCTCGAAGCTCCAAGCTCTACAGGAGATAGAGGGAAAGCCTTGCGTTCAGGTGTGACGGCTTGGGGCTTAGGCCCTAAGGTTCACGTTTAGGGTTTCGGGGTGTATGAAGCTGGCCAGCACAACCTCGCGTTTTTTTCATGTGAGTAGAAGCACCTGCGAGCCTGCGAGCCTGCGAGACTTGCGTGCTGAGCCCTGTGCAGATTCGGCTCCATGTTGTCCAGGCAGTAGTGCGTCTGGCAGGTCACCGGTGCGCAGATGACCCGAAACCCTGAACCAAAACAACCTAAACCAAGAAGCACCGAACCCTAAACCAACAAAAAAAGCTGAACTCCTAGACTCTAAACTCCAAACCCTAAGCGGGTTGTCTGCCACAGGCTCCAATATTTGGGAGAACTGGGAAAACTTGGTTACTTGGATCACTTGCCACACTTAGGTCGCTATTGGGTTGCTGACTTTCCGCACCATTTACGTTGCTTGGGTCACTGGAAACACTTCAGCACTTGGTGTCTTACAAGATTCACTTGGGGCACTGGGAGCACACTGTCTTGGGGTCACTTGCAACACTTGGAGCACTTGGGGGCACTGGGTTCACTCGGTCACCTGGATCGCTTGCACTTGGGGGGCACTTCGGGGCACTGTCGCTGGGGATGGGCGCTTGGGCCAAGTGACTTGGTTGTACGACACTACATCACGGACACTCCGATGGCTTGGGAGAGCCCTGCCCGAGCCAAAGAACGAATGATCCTAGACCCCCCTAAACCCTAAACCCTAAACCCTAAACCCTAAACCCTAAACCCTAAACCCTAATCAAACAGGCGGCAGGGGTTTAGGGTTTAGGCCTAGGGATTCGGGCCCGCACTTGCTCCCAGAAAGAACTCGAGGGGTTAGGCTTGAAGGTTTAGGGTTGAAGGTTTAAGGTTGATGGCTTGGGGTTGAAGGTTTGGGGTTGATGGTTTCGGGTTTAGGGTTTAGGGTTTAGGGTTTAGGGTTTAGGGTTTAGGGTTTAGGGTTTAGGGTTTAGGGTTTAGGGTTTAGGGTTTAGGGTTTAGGGTTTAGGGTTTAGGGTTTGCTGTGATAGGGCGCAGATGCTGTGAAGGTTAGGTTTTGGAACAAGCTCGAAAGCGTCGTGAGGTGCGAAGAGCAGCTTTGGCCCGATTGTGGAAGGCCATCTAACACTTTTCTCCCACCCCACGCCGTCCAAGGCGGCAAAGCCACCCAAACCTATTCCTTTTAGGGTTTAGGCCTAAACTCAAGCCAATTGCTTTCTTTACATAAAACTTCTTCATTCCGTCACGGCTTTTCACAAAAAACAAGCCTCCACAGAGGGAGAAGGACCACGGGCCCAGGCCAGGGTCAGTCTGGGCAGCCCAGGGGCCCTGGCAGAGGGGCCCAGAGTGGCCCAGTTAAGGAGGCGCAGAGGAAAAAGCTCAGTGAGGGCCCAATTCAAACCAAACGGGGCCAGAAGGGCCCAAAGCCAGGGGCCCCAGAGTGGGCCCAAACCCCTTTATGAGTATCAATTGGAGGGCAAGTCTGGTGCCAGCAGCCGCGGTAATTCCAGCTCCAATAGCGTATCCCCCCCGAAACGGCCAGCCACCCCCAAGGCGAAGGGCTGGGGGTTTAGGGTATTTACTTCTTGTGGGTTAGAGCTCGGCTCAAGCACTCACGGACGGTTTTCAGACCCAAGCAGCAAAGAAAGCTCTCGGTGTTTGACTTCTTCTTTTGAAGCTTATTTGGAAAAGCGTGTGATGTTGACTCTGTACACTTAAATGTTTTGTCATCTCACATGTGCTGTGTCTGGGCCTAAAGCCGCAGAACAACATAGATGCATGCCAAGACCCGATGACCCGATGCTGGCGAGATACCTGACGCCCAGGGGCTTTCGCTCTCCCCCTGCCTCAAAATGAGGCACATTCGTCGAGATCTCCCGCGGTGGCTCACTCATTCTGTTCTGGACGCAATTCAAGCTCGGTTCTTCCACGCCAAGCATTGTCATAGCAATGCCTTGCGTTGGTGGGATCATCAAAACGATCATCGCGGAGTTCGGTGCGACCGTCAGCATGAACGATCAGCGTCCTCCTTCTGCCCGTCAAGGATTGTCTTCGAATGACCTCTGGTAGGCGCGCGTCTGACGGACAGAACAAGCGCAATCTCGGCATCCCATGCCACCGGATCAAGACATTTGGACGGCGGTGAGCGTCGTAGATGAAGTGATCTCGGACTCCTGCTGGAGGGACTTGGAAGACGGCACTCAAAGGTCCTCCCCAAGGGCTAGCTGTTCTCAGCACCTCGTGGTTCGGAAGCTGTACAGGAACTGGCCACACTAGATGAGGTCTCAGAGGTGCTTGAGGAAAAGCAATCTGTTCACGCTGACTTCGGGCGTCCGCCTCGCGGTGAACCCCTTCGCTGTCTGCCCTTTGTACAGGCCTTGGCGGCAAAGGCGGAGCCTCTGGTGGTTCAATATCTGGTTCTTCTCGGTAAATGCGTTGGCCTAGATTCCGATTTCGAAGTCCGGCCTCAATAGCCCCAACCCGCGTGAGCCTTTCAAACTCTTGAGCTTGTGCCCTCTCAGCGAAGATTAACACCTCGTCATCTACATACCTTATCACCTCTTGCGGGACTGGCATCTGAGCAATTTGTCGTTCGGGCTCTTCATGGGGCGAGGGATTGGTGGGCCTATTTGGGGAAGCTCTCGAAGATCATCCTCATGATCAGGCTGCACTTCGCTGAGTGTGTCTAGCTCTGCTTCGGGTTCTTCGATGTCACGGTTTCCCCATAACTTAACCCAAAAAGTCCAAATTCCCTTCCTGAGCAACCACTTCAAGGCTTCCCAAACAACAATGCTGCACACCGCAACCATGCATATGAAGATAGTGAAGTCCCACTCCCTTTCCGAACTCAGATCAGGCTCAGTCCTGACTGTTTCGGCCTCTGTCGCGCACAGCAACAGCACCACTGAAACCAATGCCCTTTGGCTGACGGAGACTCCGCTCTGATTAGCGACAGGTGCGGGGGACAATGTGCCTTGGTCCTTCAAGGAACCCAGCCCCAACACTTGCATCAACTCCTGAAGTCGCTGCAATGGAACGGACTTTGTCCCGAGGTCTGCTCCATTTCTGGAGCTTGAGACATACCCAACCACAACCTGGTCAGCAAGATATTGTTCCTTCAGAGCTGCTGCCCTGATTCTCAAGTGGCGAGTCCGCCAGGATGCATTATCTACTTGAATGATTTGTAGGCAAGCTTGGTTATCGTTGAGCACCACAAGGCGGACGTCACCTCCGCACAGCTCACTTGCTAACAGCTGGTGGGCCCTACCTACGTTGAACCCAGTCATGGTGCTTAAGAGTTCTGACTCGGCAGTGGACTGGGCCGTAAATGGTTGCTTACTGGACAGCCAGGTCACAATAGCTCCCTCTTGAAAGAGTATAGCGCACTCCTGGCTTCGTCCGGCTAGCGGGGCGAAGCCCGCGTCGGTATGGACCTCTAAAACATTGGCTCCTGAGACTGTCGCTACACTACCAGACTCACCTAAGGTGGGGACCTTGGGGCCATACACTAGCGCTACATCGACTGTGTTGAACAAGTACCCTAGTAGATGTTCGATGTACGGTAATGTGGCCACTGGGTTGCGCGACATTTCTGAGGCCAATTTGCTCACGCCATACATAAGATCGGGCCGGGTACGCGTAGCAATCCAGAGCATCTCTCCGAGAGACGTCTGGCACGCGCGGAGTGCGTTTGGGTCTTTCTCCTCCACAGCCAGTTCAGGGATTTCGAAATTTCCGGGCGGCAACGGAGTGGTTTGCAGTTTCACATGCGGGTACCGTTTCATGAGATCTTGAATATACCCCTGTTGCCCCAAAATCAGCTGATTTCCCCTCCAGGCAAACTCAATGCCAAAGAACGAGGCTGTTCCTTCGATCAACTGCGGAATTTTCTTCATTGACCCTGTCTCCCACGCAGCCTTAATCTTGTTCACAACAGCAAGCGCTACAGCCCGGGGCCCCATGATCAGAATATCGTCCACATAGACTGCTATCCACGCGAGCGCAGGGCCTGGTTGAAGATCGCAATCTGCATTCGCAACTCTAAGGGCCCACACTTGCGAGTCTGAGGCTGAGGGAACCAACTTCATCACCTTTCCCAGGGCTTCCCGGGTTGAGTGATCAAGCGATGGCATTTCTTCTGGGGTCACGTCAGTGGGCGGCACAACGATCTCCATGCCTGCTATGGTGACATCTCTTGTGATGCCCCAATCTCTAGGAGATTGGGGTAGTCCGTAGACCGCCCTCAAGCAAAGGAAATACTCATCACTTTTTGCCAACCCATGCGCTATCAGGATCTTTGGAGGTTTCACGGCAATAATCTCAGCGGGGTTCTCGGTCATTGTTGGAGGTGGGGCAGTGCGCGGCTTTATGGGATCCAACAACAAACTGTTCAGGAATGCTGTTTTGATGTCCAACAAAAAACCTGCCCAGCCAACTCGAGCCCCTCTAGCAGCAATTTGTCTCACATGTGACACCTCGCAACCCGCAGCATACAACGACGCTTGATCCCCCTGACTGTCGCCGTTTCCAGAACCCTGAGGGACAAAGTTTCCGCAAATCACCACTCTGCACTTAAAACGGCCACCCGATTTGCGGGTGAAGATTGCTTTCCCAGGAACCATGACTACCTTCGTTCCACGCTCCTCTAACCGCTTTAGATCTGCAAGAGAGGCCCGTTTGAAAGCACCCTTCTCCTCAATCAAGGACTGCAGCTCTTGTTCAGCAGCTTTTCTCCAGAGATGAAAATGCTTGTACACCTCTTGAAGGGGAACAGTATGGCTACTCAGGATTTCACAGTCAGGCAAAAGGGAAAACTCAACTTCTTCAGGGGCCTTTTCCACAGCTTTATCCTGAGCCTGCCCTAACGCGCGCACAGCTTTGACGAGAAACTCTTCAGAAACTGCACAGTCTTCAAGGGTTTGGGCTTCTCTTTTCAAAAACTCGCACTCACGATCAATCATCATCTTCAAGTTGAGGGCTCGATTTTCAAAGGCTTCGAAGCCCTCCCCATCCCACATACATCCTATAGAGGAATCTTCTTCACAGGAGGTGGCATCAACAAAGAAGCCACACTCTGGAGCCTCAAAAACAGTAAGGCCCTCAACACTTTCCAAACTTTCACAGCAGCCCATGTCCGTAGGGCCATTGCCCTCAGCACAAGCACGAAGCTGATCCTCTGCCTGGTTCTCGCCAGACCTTTCCCCAGGCTCCTCTCGAGCATCACGAGCATCGCAGCCTCCAGCCCCAATGCTTCCCGCCCTCGTCCCGGTCCTAGCAAGCTCCCCCGGACCGCCACCACCCCAACCTGGGCAACTGGCATCCTGGCCGGAGGCCTCATACTGCGTCACATACCGTTCACACAACGTGCACACCCCAACTGGATCCGCACAACACGCACTACACACTAGACATGTCTTCATTTCGCCAGCCGGAGCCGGGTCAACACCACGCCAACCCCCTACTCCAACTTCATCAGCATCCCCCGCTCCTACGCCGGCCGGAGCCGGGGACCTCTCAACAACCCCTGCCTCAGACTCAGCGTTCCAAGGCACATGAACACACTCAGGTTCTTCAGCAAACGACACATGTTTCTGAGGAGCTGCGCAAGTTATGTTTGGTTTTTTAGGGTTTTGGGAAAAATGCGGCTCAGCAAACTCAGAAAAACCACTCTCACCATCTGGGCTCCCTCCCCCCTCCCGAGCATCGGGAGCATCAGGTAGCATGAACCCAGCTTCCTGCAACTGAAGACGCTCAGCTGACGTCAACAACAAAGAACCCTTTACCGAGAAGGCCACGAGCAAAACCCTAGTTCCCTCAGTCCAGGGTTGCGCGCTATGCCATTTGTGGGGGTCAAGCATGAAGGGCTGGAACTTCTGAAGGTCCACCACCCTCCCCCGAACCCACAAACCCGTCCGAACCTCCCGAAGATCATGGCCCTGGGAGTCCTCGATCCAGATACCTCCCCCGTTCCCTGGAGAAGGCAATTCAAGCGGCACAATGATGTTATTTTGGGGTAAGTTGTACTTGTCTTTGTGGGGTAGGGCACAAGTTTGCATCAAAAGGGCTATGCTAGTAAAAGGGGCCCGAGGAGCGGCCTCCTTAATGATACGAACGGCCAGGGCGGAAAGACCTGGACACTGCGTAGTGGCGGCTGAAACACCGCGAATCCCACCCCGACTGTATGCCCCAAACATGATGACCCTTCCTGCAGCGGACCGTTCGGTGCGTCCCTGTGTGGCTGCTGCCACTAAACTTGACCGAAGCAACACAGCAGAAGCACTCTGAGATTGATACTGCGATGCGGCAGCTAAGAAACTGGCAGCTTCATCCTCAGCATGAGCCAACCTCAATCTGTTTTGGGCAGCACCTACCTTAGCAACTGCTCCGAGGGGTCGCTCAACGACGCCAAGTCCTGGACTCTTTCCTCTCACACGTCTTGGAATGAGAGGCGGCATTGGAGCTTCGACCGCATCAAGAGCGTCAGGCGGAGCATCATCAGCAACAGGAGGCCCTTCACGAACGCCGCCAAAGAGAACCTTAACGTTGCGCAGATTTCCATCTTCTGTTCGCACGACGTACGCACGCTCGACCTCCTGCGCAGGAGCAAGGATCCTAGCTGGAACAGCCCTCCTCCCCCACTCCCCGATTCTCCATGACCGCTCTTGCACATGGACCAAAGCATTGAACGGCTTCAGTCCCTCAGTTTTCCAGCCTAAACGCTGGAAATTGAACATGCGATGTTGGGCCGCGGCATGCCGCACTGCAAACGGCCAATCCTGCCATTCACTGTCTGCAGCCCGCAACAACGTGCGCGCACGACCCTTTAGCACCCCAATGGCATTTTCCACCCGTCCGTTTGAACGGAAGTCATCCGCTCCTGTGCAGCTTTTCACGAAGGCGTTGTCACTGCACCAGGCTCTGAAACTCTTGTTGCAGAATTCCTTCCCCGCATCTGTGTGTATTCTGACAATGGGGAGTCCTAGAAGGGAGATTGCTGCCTTGATGCGTTTGGTTGCTCGGAGGGTTTCCGCTTCTGTTTTTCTGCGCAAAGGTTCTACCCACAGCAACTCAACCATGGGAACCCTTGGAAGCTCCGCTTCATCTGAAAGATCAACTGGTGCCTCAGCTACTGCAGCTTCCTCAGGATCTGGTTCCTCCGGCTCTTCCCAGGGCTGGACTTCAGGATCTACAGGCGGGCCATGATCGGGGTCATTTGGGGCTGCTACTCCACCAACACCCAGTGTTTCCGGAAACGTGTAGACTGCTACCAAAGCATACCTTACCTCATCAAGCACTTCATCCCTGCCACCCCTGTGAGGCCCCATCAAGTCCAAGCTCAGGACAAATGACTCAGCAGCAGGTTGACGTCTATGGGGTCTAGCTCTCAAACGTCCCTCTAGGCAATGTCGACAGTCGGCTCGAAAAGGGACGTGGCCACTTGCAACATGGTCTGCAAAGGAAGTGCGAACTTTACGCGGAGCCAATGCCCGCAACGCCTCAGGATCAGCCTGATAACGTTTCCACACATCCCCCACATTCTCAATTGCTTCCCTTACAGCAGCCTTCAACCCAGGAGCCCACGCAGCCCACGAGCTACTATCATCTGCACTGCCATACACCGGAAAGCAAGTCATGTCCCGAATGTCACGTGCCCATTGTGGCCAATAGAGCCCATGCGCTGAAATAGTGGTGGGTTTGATCCTACAATGACCTAAAGGGCCTTGATTGATGTGAAACAACCGTACTTGCAAGAATTCCTGTACAGTCTGCCATTCGGGGGTTACCCATAGGGACGGTAGGTCTGAAGCAGCAGGACCCAGGACTGACACAGGATCGCTGGGGTTCTCCACTAAGCTAAACAGTGGCGGTGAATCCTGATACCGAAGCCGCAAACCTGTGGAAGCCACTACCTTCAACAGCAAGGTGCGCATAAGGAGGCAATCATCCTCCAACATCTTGGCCTGTTCGCGAGAATTCGCGGTGCCCAAGCCCCATCTTCCCTCCCCAACCCTGCTGCGAATGACTGGTGGACCCGGGGGTCGGTTCCTGAGCATGCTGCGCGTGCGACAAGGCAGACCGGACAACACGCCCTTGAACTTGCCTAAGGCAGCTAGCTTCATCAAATACGACATGGTTTGAGGACTGTTGAGGTTTTCTTTGCAGTCAACGTCCAACACATACATGCCGTGGCGCGCTGCAGTAGCCTGGAACTCCCCACGACAGCTGCCACAACACAAGTGCAAAAGCACTCCACGCGATCTCTCAATGGAGCGGCGTTTCCGACGATTCCAGCACAAAGCTTCTGGAGTGTGTGCAATGTGTGTTGAGACCTCTTTCTTGATCCTATCGGGGGTTTCGGGGAACATAGCATTCATGAGAGCCTCCGTCCAAGCGGTAGTCACCTCAGCATCGCCGTCCCAAAGCGCCCTACACAGCCCTTCTGCCACATCATGAGCACTCTTCCCAGTCATCTTTTGTTGCACAAGGGCCACCCGCTCATCCTGCCTCCTGGAGCGCTCGCCCATCCGTTCCTCCCAGAGCTCAATCCTTCGTATGAGGTCTAGAGCGACATGACGATTTACACGGGGGCACCCTTCGACTATCATGACAGGCACCCGTCCCAGCTCAGGATGTACTACCGTGCAGGTTTTGTTTCGCCATGCGATGTGAAAACCCATGCGGACTAACTTGGCCATCGCCACTATTGGTTCTGAAGTGGACGCCCCAAGAAGTGTGCCCCAACGATTCACTCCCATTGTGGTCTCCCCTTCAGCAAGAGCAACCGTCCTCCAACCGACAACTTCATCTGGGGATTCTTGAGGGCGCACACATGCTGATGCTCCTGAGTCTAGGAGTCCTAGCTGCTCACCTGCAACAGGCTTTTGACATGCTTGTCCACTCAACATAGGGTACAGGCTGAGAGCCTTCGCCGCAGCGGGCGCTGATGCTGTCAACTGCTTGATGGCTGCCGTTACCTCCTTAAACATGTTCTGGCGTGCTTCTTCACTGATGTCGGAGCCTGCCCGATCTGAGGCCTGAGTGGCTGCAGCAGTTTCCACTGCAGACGTGGTACTCGCTGCAGGCTTACCGGCATCACCCTTTTTAGCACCCTTTTTTGTTTTTCCTTTTGACTTGTTGGCGTCTCCTTGATCGGCGGTCTGCTGAGGGTAGGGGCACGCTTCCCTGAAATGCTCTGTTGAAGAACAGTTGAAGCAACGTTTATCCCCTTTTCCAAGCACCGAATGCGCAAACGTGCATGACCTGCCATAATGACACCCTCCCGTTGACAGCCAGTGTTTGCACTTAGACTTGCCAGTCTGACCCTTGCCCTTTTGGGAGTCCTGGGGAGTGTCAAGTTTAGCAGCCTTTGGGTTTTTGGCAGCGCCACTGTCAAGGGCTTCTAGTTCAGCTTGGAGCATGCTTGCCAAATCGCACACTTTCGGTAAGGTTGGAACCACATCAATGTTTTGGGAATACCGAAATGAAGAAAGTCTGAAGACGACTTCCGTGTGCCTGGCTAGCGCCTTTGCAGTCAAGCCGTCCAGCCCTGCCAGCAATAAGGTTGGGTCAGGGATGCTAACCTCGAGTTGTTCGGCACGCCGGCGCCAACGGCTCCACCTTTTGATCTGCTTCAGGGCATTGGGAACATCTGAGGCACTTTCCGGGCTAGTAAGAAATCTCAACAATGCAGAGCGTTCCTTAAGACCCCCTGGTTGATACGTGCAGTAAACCAGAGCCACTGCGTCAATGCACGTCATCTTCTGAGTGGACACCAGTTCATCCTTCAACGCGTTTGGAACCGCGCGGAGAATCAATTGCAAGCCACGTTGCTCAACCCTAGCGAACTTGGTACCCTCAAAACGAGCAGGGGATTCAGGTCTCATTGACAACCTGGCTACCGGAGTGGCGCGAAGCCAGGCTTGATAGTAATCCGTTGCTGCCTGAAGGACCTGGTCCCACCACTGTACGCTAGTGGCACTCAAGTCGCGCATGGTCGGTCCTGATAGTGTGAGCCAATCTCCTGCCAACAATGGAGAGAGGTCCTTATCCGCTTCATTGATCACCAGTTTTGGCAGCTCCGCCAATGAGGTTTTCACCTCTTCTGCTCTGACCTCCCCATCCCCGTACGACGTGAGGGCCTTTTTCATGCTGTCAAAGAACCATTCAAGACCCTTGGATACCTGATCACCGCTCCTGGAGCCCTGATTCGCAGGCACATCGCCACTGGACCCAAGACCCTGAATGAGATGATCGCCGCCACTACTCTTGTACTCCGGACCTGGCTGAGCGCTACCGCTACACTCCTGACCCATTCGAATTTCCTCCGAAAGTCCTGGAGGTGCTGTGAGCGGACTACTTCCCCACAACGCCCCACCTGGTGCTGGCCAAGGATAAGGCACCTGCTTCAGGACTGTCCCCTGTCCTTGCGCATCCGGGATGGGAGAATGAGGCGGGCCTCCAGGTGGTGGTTTGATTTCAGTTCCACCTGGTGACAGCGGGTACACAATCCTGGGCTTACAGGGGTTCACGAAAGACTCAGGCGAATTCCTAGCAGGAGCCTCAAACACAGGAGCCCTTACTGGCACAGGATCTGAGATGGTGGCTCTCAGTGCCCTAGATCCCTTTATGTCTTGCGCCCTGCCCTCCGACGTGGCCCTCTTCTTAGCCGGGCTCGCACTCCTAGACCGCACGAGTTTGCTCCCAGAGTCAGTGGCCTCAAAAGGAGAGTGAGCTCTTCCGTCAAAGATGTTCTGACTTTTAGGCTGCACGGGTGTGCTGGGCTTACGAGTGCTTAGGGGTTGCAACTGCAATCCATCCGACGTTAGACGCCAGGCGTGTGGAACTCCAGCAACCTCCACCACCCCCGTTTGTTCCCCAAGGCCGGAGCCCTGATCAGCGTGCCCAGAAACATTTGACGGATCTGCTGAGGCCTCATCTCTACCGTGGCTCCTTGATGTTTCCACGGCCTTCCTACCACGAGCTACTGAGGCAGAGGACCCTTCACCACGCTGCGCTGCCGTTGTTCCATGATGGCCACCATCACCCTGCGAAGCACTAATTCTTACACTGGCAGCGAAGTTTCCAGCAAGAGCACGCGCATCTGCTTCAGTTGAGGCCTGTTGGGCAACCCTGGCTCGCTCATCAAGACGGCTCTGTCTAGCCTCCATGGCCTCCAACCGATCAAAGAGCTGCGTGAACAAGGGGGCCATCTGCGCTTGCACGATGTTGCTTACCTGTTGCTGCACCAACTGGCCCACGTTTGCTTGCAAAAGAGACACCTCAACCGGAATCCCCCCAGACGTGACCGGAGCGGGCGCTGGATTGGTCACACGACCTCCGGACCCCCCAGCTGCCAACTGGGGCACGCGATCATCCCGGTCCACATCCATGGCGTTGGTGGGCAGCAAGCTCTGATCGTTCCGCCGATCACACGGTCCACTTTCTACCCCCCGAGGCAACATCCTGTTGTAGTCCGGCACCAGCTCCTCATCATCAATCTCCCAGTGTGCTCCCTTTTCCATGCGAGACAACTCACTGTGCCCTGGAGACTGTGGTAAAAGTCTGGCTACCGGAGCGGGAGCTTGGCGTTCTTGTAGGGGCCTACGGTCAACTTGCTCATCCTCCATGGCGGGATCTGATGGTGCCTGCGTCGGCAGTCCCTGGTCATACTCCGGCTCCTTAGGGTCGTCACTCACTCCCCCAAGCAGCATGGGATCAATAGCAGAAACCTCGGACTCCTCACCCTCCATCGCACGATTGACCGACTCAGCCCAACTTGCGGAAGCCATGGCAGTGGGTTCGAGCTTTGGGCTCATAACCCTTGTGGGTTAGAGCTCGGCTCAAGCACTCACGGACGGTTTTCAGACCCAAGCAGCAAAGAAAGCTCTCGGTGTTTGACTTCTTCTTTTGAAGCTTATTTGGAAAAGCGTGTGATGTTGACTCTGTACACTTAAATGTTTTGTCATCTCACATGTGCTGTGTCTGGGCCTAAAGCCGCAGAACAACATAGATGCATGCCAAGACCCGATGACCCGATGCTGGCGAGATACCTGACGCCCAGGGGCTTTCGCTTACTTTATTAAGGGGACCAGTACTGGTCCCTGGGAGAACCTGCTCCGGTACCGGGCCCATCGTGGGTGCTACCGACCTCCTGGCTGCAGGAGGCGGGCAAGCGACCTGGGTCGACTTTCGCCATAGAGGTCGAAGGGCTTAAGCGCCGCCCCCCTTCTGTAGGGGGGCGGCCTAGGCCCTGAGTTTAGGGTTTAGGGTTTAGGGTTTAGGGTTTAGGGTTTGGGGTTTAGGGTTTAGGGTTTATGGGGGGGGGGTGGGGCCCGGTCTCTCGGCGACGGCCTCGGTGATGTTCTCGACGACCTGCAGCTGAAACGGGCTGATCTTCTCGAGACGTGAATGGGGAAGTGCCTTGACTCCCCACTAAACCCTGAAGGGTTTAGGGTTTCGGGTTTAGGGTCTAGGGTTTAGGGTTGAGGGCTTAAGGCTTTAAGGTTTTGGGCTTTAGGGGTTTTGCGGCTTGCGGTTTGGGCTTTCGGGACTTCGTGGGCTTGAGGGTGGAGGGTTCAGGGTTTAGGGTTTAGGGCTTAGGGCTTTGGCCCCCCTACCTACTATTCAACTACTACGTCTTTGCTTAAGAACCACCTATACATACATACATACATACATACATACATACATACATACATACATACATACATACATACATACATACATACATACATACATATATATATATATATATATTCTTCCTCATACGGGCAATATAGAGAGAGATTCGTCTTTTGTTTTTTGGAATCCTTCAGCAAACAGTAGTGAACCCTCAACCCGAAGTCCTTTGTTGAGGACTAAAGACAAATTTCCTTAAATGGGCATCCCAGCTTCGGAACTCGGGCTGATGTGCTCAACCCCTAAACCCTAAACCTTAAACCCTTTAATTACGAGGGTTTTGGGTTTAGGGTTTAGGGTTTAGGGTTTAGGGTTTAGGGTCTGCACTCCCGAAACCCGAAACCCTATGCCCCTGTGTTGTCAGGGTGGCAGGGGAGGAGGGTGGGGGGGGGGGGGGGTTGAGGGCCTTGTAGCCCTGGAAGCGGATGTTTGAGGCCCACATCAGGGTGTAGAACCTGTCATCGGTTCGGTGCGGGGCTTTGGGATCTAGGGTTCCAGGGTTGTACAGGGTTTAGGGTTTAGGGTTTAGGGTCTAGGGTTCTAGGGTTCTGGGGTTCCAGGGTTCTGGGGTTCGAGGGTTGTGGGGTTCGGGGTCTCGGCAAGGTCGCGCGCGGGCAACCGCGCAGTAGCGCGAAGACATGCCCACCCCAAGACCACTAGAACACCACGAAAAAGTACGAGCCAAAAGCAGAGCCAGCCTAAACCAGGCCAGCAGATTTAAGGTGTCTCTCTTACCCACGTTCTGGGCTGACGGGCCCTTTCATGGAATATTGCGCGCTCCAGATCTTTAGGTTGCATTCCAAACCATGACAAATGCGCACCCAAAGTTGAGCAGCTTCAAAGTTCAGGGGTTCACGAAGGGGGGGGGGGGGGGGGGGCGAGGGGTGCGAAACCCTGAGGATCCCGTGCTTCGCAACGCCCCTGCGAGGCTCTTCAAGCGTCCATGGCTATGGGGAACTCGTGCTTTGAAAGCTGTCAAGCCCCGTCGCTCTTGCTGCGGCAGCCCGACGGGAGATGTCAGCTCGCCCGTGTCGGAGACTAAAACCCCTGAACCCCTAAACCCCTAAACCCCTAAACCCCTAAACCCTAAACCCTCAACCCTAAACCCTAAACCCTAAGCTTGCGAAGGCACGTACTGGACCGAAGCAGCTGCAAGTCGTCCATGGCAGCGGTCACAATCTCCAGCCCCCTCTCTTTCCTTAAAGGCTCCTGTGCCGAACTGTAGGGCTTAGGGACGTGTAGGGTGCAGGGTCGGGCCGGGTCTTGCGCAGCCCGTTAAAGGAGTTTCTGTGGACCGAGCTTGGGCCGATGCATATGAGGCCGCTTCTATACAATACATCATGGCCCCTTTTGGGATTCTGCTTATAAGGCGGCCCCTGAACCCTAAACCCTAAACCCTGAACCCCAAGCCCCAAACCCCAAACCCTGAACCCTAAACCCTAAACCCCAAACCCCAAACTCCAAACCCCAAACCTTAACCCAAAAAGTGACCATAATTTGGAGAACCTGGCCTTTTGAGGCACATGTCATGGGACACTAAGGCAGCCCCTTCTGTGCGCCCCAAGGTCATGCCAGGGTTGCTCGATGTCGGCGCCACCGTGGTGCGGCTCCTACCGGGGTTGCGGGTTCAGGGTTTAGGGTTTAGGGTTCAGGGTTTAGGGTTTAGGGTTTAGGGTTTAGGGTTTAGGGTTTAGGGTTTAGGGTCTAGGGTTTAGGGTTTAGGGTCTAGGGTTTAGGGTTTGGGGCTTAGGGCTTCATGACTTCGACGTTCAGGGACTTGTCTTCAAGTTGAAGGTGTCAGGCCATAGGGAGTAGGGTTTAGGGTTTAGGGTTTAGGGTTTAGGGTTTGGGGTTTGGGGTTTGGGGTTTGGGGTTTGGGGTTTAGGGCTTAGGGTCTCGGGTTTAGGGTTTAGGGTTTAGGGTTTGGGTTTTAAGAGGGTTTAGGGATTAGGGTTTAGGGTTTAGGGATTAAGTTCCCTTAACATGGTCCCTCATCTTCTGCAAAGTCTCTGAAGTGTGGGCCCTTGCGGGCTAATTGGTATAAAGGGGTCCCCCAAGTAAGGGCCCGTACTCAGGGACCATGTAACTACCCTCGGAGTGCTAGGGTTTCAGGGTGTTAGGGTTTTAGGGTTTGGGGTTTGGGGTTTGATTCAGGGTTTCAGGGTTGAGGGTTCTTCCCCAAAGAAGGGGAACAAACTCCGATTTTAGCCCTTACATGTCGTGTTTTGGGTTTAGGGCTTCGGGGTGTTTAAGGGTTTTGTTCAGGGTTTAGGATTTCGGGTTTAGGGTTTTAGGGAGGCTGGTCCAGGAAGGCTCCTCCCAGTGGAAGGTGACCCGGTAAGGTTCCGCATCCTGTTCGGGAGAGGCGCGTTTAGGCTTACTGCATGGGTTTAGGGTTTAGGGTTTAGGAGTTTGGGGTTTAGGGTTTAGGGTTTAGGGTTTAGGGGTTTAAGGTTAAGGGTTTGCGCTTTCGCAACTAGTTCATTCATCGGGCACCTGAACATAAACCTAAAGCTTGAAACCCAAAACCCCTCAAACACCGAAACAAACATCCCCAAAACGCAAAGGTCACGCTTCAGGCTCTCAGAGGGTTCTAGGGTTGAGGATGTTGGTGTTGACTGTCTCAAAGTTCTACGAAACGCAACAATGACAAACGTTTCGCACGTGGAGGAGGGCCCGTATTCAAAACATTTCCCGTGCACGTTTGTGCTTTCAACCCTAAACCCTGAACCCTAAACCCTAAACCCTAAGCCCTAAACCCTAAACCCTAAACCCTAAGCCCTAAACCCTAAATAAACCCTACACCCTTAACGCTAAATAGACCCTAAACCCTGGCCCTAAGCCCTGGGTTTAGGGTTTTTAGTTTAGGGTTTAGGGTTTAGGGTAGGGCTGGAGGGTTAGAGGGTTTTGGGCTGGAGGGGGTGGAGGGTTGAGGGTTGGAGCGTTCATTTAGGCTTGGAGGGTTTCGGGCTTGGGGCGCACTTTGGTTCATACCCCAAAAAGACCCTAGCCCAAAGGCGAAAACAATGTAGGTACTACTATGGAGGTATGTGGGGCATTCATTGATTACCGGGGTCCAGCACTAAGATATATTGGACAACTACAATTGCGAACCTTTCGGGCAGACATGGCCATGAGGATCAGGCGCTGCTCTGTCAGCGTGGCTAGGCATGCGACGCAACGCTGTCCCACACTGGATGAATCGCGGTTTCCCCTTTGCTCCCTGTCCAGCCTGAGGCACAAGCATCATGACAGTTTCCCCGCAAGGGATCAAAGCGCCGCGATGGGGCGACCCATCGCTGCCTCGAATGCGGTCAAACCTCCGGACTGCACCTGGAACCTGTTCAAGATGAAGGCAGCGTGACGCATGGCCCAGCTGTGGATCGGGTCAAGGTTTTTTCACCTTCTGCTTCGTTTTGCTTTCGTAACACGTAAGTAGTGATCCAGCAAGCTGACGCACAGTGTGAACACACATCTCGGCACCGCCATTGCTTTGGTGAGATTCCTCCGGAACCTGCTGACACACGGTCTTCAGGCCCATGCTCAGTCGCAGTTTATGCACTTCGAATCTGGGTCTTGCCGACCACAAACCTTGGGTTTTTTTCGAGTGGATCGGGCAGGATTCCGACTGTTGGATCAAGCATCTTGTGATTTTGCCAGCCAGCTCGGGCTCGTGCGCAGCCACTTGCCGCAGCGCGTGTGATACCTAGCCCATTTGCGTGACACTGTCAGGCCCAGTGATCCACTCGTCGATGGCGGCCTGCACTGCCACGATGTGTGGTAAATGGTTTCAAAAATACAGAGACCGTCGAGACTGTAGGGTTTTGGGTTTTGGGTTTTGGGTTTTGAGGCCTAACTACCCTCCTGGCCTCCTCTTTGGCAAGGTACGGAGCGGTACACTTGTCCGGGACTGTGGGCATGGTGGTGACCTTACGCCACGTGTGGAGGCAGCGGGAAGGGGAGGGAGGGGTCTGGCTAAACATGGCTAAACCCTTAGCCCTAAAACTTAAACCGAAACCCCGAACCCTGCACCATCCGTGCCTTGGGGAAAGTTGAGGCTGTTGCAGGACTTCTGGGTTCAAGTGGTAGGAATATGGGAAACACATGTTCT